ATAATGTACAGTATTTGAAAAAGAATGTGTTTTTTGAACATTAAAGCATGTCAACATATTCTGTTACACCAAATAATGATCTTTAAAATAGCATCATATGACCCCTTAAAGAGTGAGACTCTTAAGATCTACATTTGGACAAAGGAGCTGGATCAGCGTAATAGACCATCCTCTACACAATAACAGAAGGTGTATTTCCTTGCATGAAAATGTCCTTTACGTTGATTCACTGAATGTTTATGTAAAATGTGCAATGGTCCAAACATCAGAGAGTGAACATTCTTCTATTTTGCATTTTACTTATATTGAAAACAAAGTCATCAATAATTTTTCTCAAAAGAGAAAGACATTGAAAAAATAAATAAAACATTTGAATAAATTAATAAAGGAATAAATACATACATAAATGCTGTAATTTAAAAGCTGTGTCGATGATTTTAGATATTGATATTTCTATTCAGAAATGATAAGTTGAATTGAAGACAGTAAAGACATTAATAATGTAATTTAATAATTTTCATATAAATGCTGTTCTTTTGAACCTTCTATTCATCAAAGAATCTTGGGGGGGGAAATCAGTTTCCACAAAACTATTAAGCAGCAGAACTGTTTTCAACATTGATAAGAAATGTTTCTTAAGCAGCAAATAAGCATATTTGAATAATTTCTGAAGGATCATTTGACACTGAAGAATGTAATAATGGATGCTGAAAAAATTAAGCTTTGCCATCACAGGATTAAATTACATTTTAAAATATATTCAAATAGAAAACAGCAATATAGGTAGTATTCCAAAAAACAAAACCCTAAAAAATAAAAGTTATCTCATCCGAGCCATTAATCATTTCAACTTTTACCAGAAGCACCACTATAATCACTAAGTCAAACTCTTTCTTCATCCTGGTGACCCACAAAACGGCTATCTAAAATACAGACAGCAAATCTATTGATTTGTCATGCCATATTTATTGCCATAGTATTTTAAAAGCATTTCAATCTCACTACGTAATTCAAGTCTCCGGCAGTTTTGTCCACACACATACAATTGTCCTGTTCTGAACACCTCCTCCATCTGACTGTGACACTTTCATCCCACACAGGGATGACTGAAACGGATTGTGGCCTGCCTGCTTGTTTTGTCCCTGGGCCACACTGTCTGCCTTTTAAACAAAGTTCCCACTGACGCACTTGTTTAATAGAGAATATCGTCAGCGCCTTAACGTCACCTCCCGCGTCACAAATAAAACAGTAAGTACTTTTCATTTCAGCCCTAAAGCAAACACCATTAAACTCTGAGGTGGTAAAACATGACTAGTGCATGAATTCTGTGCTGCACCCATCCACTTACATAAAGAGGAAAAATATCTCATCTCAAATACCAATGAAGTGATTCCGACTTTTGGAAAAATGCCAATACTGAAAAATGAGTGTATCATTTAATGTCTCACATCATTGAGAAGTTCTTTCCCTTTGAGTAATGTAAAGCGTTTAGCTTCAGTAAGTTTGCTGCCGGCTGTGTATGTGCGCGCTGTGATGACTAAAACTCTTTAGCTCTTGTAAGGATAAAAGAAACTCAGACACTTTGATCTCCTGAGAAACAAACAATACACTGGCATCTTCAAGACACCCCACAGAGGGGTGGTGCAGGAAACGCCTCTCTCACATATGCATTGGTTCCTCCTCATCCCCTTCCTTCCCCTCACCCATCCTTCTCTTCACCCAGCTCACTCAGAATGGTCAAGAATATAATGTTCTATATGAATGCAAATAAGATTTACAGTCATGTTTGGTTTCATTTGAATAGTTTCAGGGCGAGTGGTACAATGGTCGTAATCTTACCAAAAGATAATCCAGATCCTAAGAGTTAAAAGATACTTTGATTACTGTAGAGGGTCATTACATGCAAATTACCTTTTGTTCCCATTAAGGTGTAGACCACCCATGGGACCTGGGTTAATGTAAATTACACGCCTCCACTTGGAGGATGTCTTTTCTTGGTTTTGTATTTAAAGGATTACAGCAAAAGGGTCAGGGCGAATCTGTAGTCAGACAGCCCGTAGTATAGAGTATCTCCACACACTCTGTACTATGTATTTTTCTAATACATCTAATACATTTAATCTCAGGTATGCATTTTACTCTTAGATTCGTCTTTGAGAATTTGATGTCTTGTATTGATTTGATATCGTTGAATTGGCTGTGGAGATAATTGGCATAATACATATTTACCTGACTGATAATAAATTGTTACACTTGATTTATTCTAACTTAGAACCGCTGATTAATATTTTGAGTGTTAATTAAGTTGTACGAAGCTATCAGCTGTCGGGGTCTACACAAAGGTGGTCTAGAAGAACCGCTGATTAATGTCAGAATATGATATGGTTAACCATGTATATGATTTCAGAATTAATTAAGTTGTACGAAGCTATCAGCTGTTGGGGTCTAGACAAAGGTGGTCTAGAAGAACCGCTGATTAATGTCGGAATATTACATGGGTAGCTGTAGGGGGCTAAACATTAGCCACAAACCTCTGAATAAGGATTAGAATGGCGAGTTTTGTGATCGTGGAGCCCACGCATAGCGGCCGGCGTGAGGCATCCTAAAAACTACATAGATTCCTAGTGAACGAGTAAAATACAAAGTAAAGAGTTAATTAGAATAATCGAATGTAAGAATAATCAGAGACCGACAAATAACCAATGTGCCTTTCAACCTAAATTGGAAGTCATACTAAAATGGAGTCAGATTGAGTTAAACCTAAATTGAATAACTCTGCGCGCTGAAAAGACCGAACACGCAAGAGACCTTCATCCGCCACTGGATACCTTCTTTGGGCCTATGTGTTATGAAAAGAAATTTACTAATCGTACTAATCATGCTCTTGTATTGAGACACTCTAGTCAATAGTTCAGTGTGACGTTTAACAGAGAGCGCAGTGATCTAATTCACTACTCTCACAATCCCAGCTGTGTTGGGTCAAAGTTCAAATTGCACCATTCGAACTGACGAAGATTAAATTAATCTAGCCCCTTCCACTGACACTACAATTAACTTGATGGATAAAATCACAGTGTGGTGCTCAGTGCTGTGTTTGACTTTGTGATTTGCACATTATGTTCATATTGACTGTAGTGTACACTGTCAACAGAAAGACGAGCAATTTGACTGATGAGCCAAAAAACGACTGTGCATCAGACCATTCTGTGCACAATGTTAAACCTAAAGAACATACAACACCTGAGAAATCCAGTCAAAGCACACACACTCTGAGATATCTTAATGTTTATTGGCAACCAAACGTTTTAGGTGTGCCAAGTAATGCTGAGTAATAGAGAGTAGTGAGGTGTAGGTGGATGAATCCTGCATGCAATCAATCCATAGCTTGGTTGAAAGCCTTAGTCACAGACCTTATTTTGTTTTCTCGGCTAAAAACAGGAAGTAACAAAACCCTCGGAGTTGTCTTCACTTTTAAAGGTCAGGAATATGAGCACAGTAAAGGGAATCGTGATTGAATGGGGAAGGTGGCCTCCATTTCCAGTTTCACCCGGGGAAAATGAAGCACACTTGCTGTTCTCGATACACGACTCTACCAATAGTCTAGTGCCACAGTACTTCTGTCTGTTCACTTTTCACAACCCTTTTCAGATATGAACACACACTACCGGTTTCACAACCTCTTGAGACTCTTTGTGTACAATAAAAGCAAAGCTCAGAAAATAGCTTGAGAGATATATCTTTTACAGATAATTAATTCAATTCAAGTTTATTTGTATAGTGCTTTTCACGATACAAATCGTTGCAAAGCAACTTTACAGAAAATTAAGTTTCTACAATATATATAGTGGTAGCTTATCAGTGGTGACTGTCAGTTAATGTACATATGGCAGAAACGTACGGAAAAATCAATTAAAGACGTAATCAAACAGACGATGAACATTACACTTTTCAACTTAATAACGGGTCTAATATTAATTGCCACCATTTGGGAGGTCTCTCAATAGAAATATACAACAACAGCAAATTATTTAATGTGTTGACAAATGGCGTTTGGTCTCGTACCTTGTCAGTGTCGTGCGCTTTGCTTGGCCGCCTTTTGTTCTTTTAATATTTTTGAATTGTTTTTAGCTTTATTTTTTTGTTTTCATTTAAATGTTTTAGTTTTGCAATGTTGTTGTATGCATTTGTCATTTTTATTTAATTAATTTTATTTTCATAAATGTGTGTATTTTGTGTGTAATTACTTTTTCTTATTTGTAAGTCGCTTTGGATAAAAGCGTCTGCTAAATGACTAAAAGTAAAAGTGTTGTTTAAAAGGTCTTTCATAAACGTCTTTTATTCTGCAGTAAAAATTTGTTGCTTAATTACACACACACACAAAAAATTGTAACCGTCAAGATGGCAAAAAAATGACAAACATTATGACATAAATAATACAAATAATTATAGTTACTACAAAATATTATTTTATAACATTATTATATTTATATTTTTAAAAATATTATAAAATATTGTTGTTATTACAATAATAATAATAATAATTTGTTTTTAGTTTATTTAAAAATAATTTTATTTAAAAAATGATTATATTATTAGTAGCTGCAGTATTAGTTGCTGCTGCTTTCTAAAAAGGTTATTTATTTTTATTATTTATTTTTTTATAATTGATCAGTTTTATTGTGTCAAAGATCAGGATAAATAATTAATATTTTAAATAATAAAAAATTGGTCGGACATACTATTTAACAACATAATAATAATAATAATAACAGGTATTGGCATTAAACAATATCTCTACACAGCAGCTGAAAAATAACCCTGCAGGGAATGGATTTTTGGGATCAACTGCAATCATTCATCTTCAAGCCCCCAAACTCTGCCAAAGTTGAGGACATTCACTCCAGACCCGAGACCCCAGATGAACTACACTGACATGCCAAAGGCAAGGGACAGAAGTATTGCAGTAAGCATGTGACAGCAGTAAGACACTGAGACATTACCTTATTTTGTAATTTGGTAAGGTGTGCTTCTTCTTGATAATTCTCTTGAGCTGATTGACTATGATGGAGGTGAGCTGGGGCAGAGGACGGCCCTCAAACTGAGACTTCACCTCGAAGTCTATGAGCGGGTCCTCCAGGAAGGAGAAGGACCAGTGCGTGAAAGGCGTGCGGGTGAACTGCAGCTTCAGGCGGCCCGCCACCCGGGTCATCTTCACAAACAGATAAGCCGATTTCCCGAATACTAAATCGACATCAATGGCCAGATGAAAGCCGCCGTTATATTCTAAGTCAACCTCGAAATTGAGCTCCTCTGGCATGTTGTCTTCATTGAGAGCCACTGTCTTCATGAGTCTGGCTGTTTTGAAGACGGGCACCGAGTTGCCCAGAGAGATATCCCGCAGACTGAGCCCCTCCAGCAGACGCCCGGCGGTCTTGGTCTGGAGGAGCTCCTCAAACTCTACCTTGATCTTTTTGGTGATCCAGTGCCTGATGACTGGGGTGTCTCGGAGCTCGCGGAATAAGAACAGAAATATGGCATTGAGGAAATCGCATGTCTCTGCTTTGGAGGTGTGCCGAGGGTCGCTCAGCGAAGGCGGTGGCGAGGACGGCTGCTGTTTGGGGCTGCTGCCGGGGACGGTGGTCTCTTGCTGTTTCGGGGAAGCGGCCTCTGGTTGTTTGGAGACATACGATGTGATATCGGATTGTTGCTGCGTCGATTCGGCTTGTTGGTTGCTAAAGTAATCCTTCAGTGCAGAATCAGGAACTGCTTTGACATACTGAACTGTCCTAGCGATAGGCTCGGGGCTCCTCCGGTACAACAGTAAGAGCTGCAGAAGGAGCGTGACGATGGCCCCGGAGAAGGCAGAAATTAATATCAGGTATATCATCTTCGGATCCCCCGCTGCGTCCTGCGGGTTAAAGTGTACACATGTTCCGCTGTCAGCCCGATTAAACAAAAGCTAGTTCCACCTGGCCGCTCACAAAGCTGCCATATCATCTGCTCCTTTCCTGGGCTTTGGAACCTGCCACTGATTGGTGGAACGTAACCTCGCGTCAACGCGCTGGAAGTCCTGCGTCATGACGGCATCTGCCGGGCAGCGACCGAATGGCTGTGATCGCGACAAATAAAGCATATAAATTGTCACAGGAAACGCACTGGAACGTTTTAAGCCGAATATTGATTATTCATGTGTTTTTTTTGTTTTGTTATTGTGACAATGTTATGTTTCCATAACATAGCCTATATGCAATAAAGATTTTTGAACTGGCAAATATCATAAAGAGGGAACTAAATGTAGTTTTCCAGCTGAATGGAAATGATGATATAATGCAAAGACCATGAGAAAAAAAACATATATAATTGTTATATAGGAAGTTAAATCAAACAATCTGGCTCCAAAATATTTTTTTTATTTATTAAATGAATGTGAAGTGTTTAGCATTGTTGTAAAGATCAGTGAAGCAGCATCATTTTCTACTACACTTTTTAGAGGTTATTATTTCCTCTCTGGAACCTTTATTATTATTATTATTATCATCATCATCATTTATATTTACTGGTTGCATAATTTACCCAGTTAAAAGGTTGCATAGGATTGAACATTTTGCATTGTGTTGCTTATGATAAATAAATAAATAACCAGCCCCTTTGAGACTAATGGGCTGATGAGTGTTAATACATGAGATAATACGTTGTGAAATGACAGTTTTATGATGCATTATCGCTGCATAATATAAAAAATGTATTTATTAATATTGTCTTTGAAAAAATAGACCCTATCTGCAGAGAAATGTAATCTTGCCAGACAGTCATATTTCGTACAATGCACATGCTGTATTTAGATTTGCAAGTAGGCCTAACATTTTGAACAGAGATATGCAGAGGCATATGACCTAAACAGCTGCTTTCTCAAAACTTAACCGAGCCTAATCTGTTTAAAAAGACGTTTTCTCATACTGAGCCAGGGAGCTGCTTCTGAGGACTGTTTAGTTCTCAGCCACCAGCAATGCATATGTTTATTTAACCACTGGGTGTGCAGCCATTAACTTGATTGAAACAATTAATCCCCATGTTGGCTGGCAGCAAATACCCTCTCACAAATCCTGTTTGATCTTTATCAACTCATGTTTCACTGCTGCTAGAGATCTGATCTATTGCAGTTCAGAGACACATTTATAATAGATTACAATAAACCAAATTCAAACCGAGGTGAACATTGCTCCAGCTCCATCTTGTGGACTATCAAAGATAGTGCTGCACAAAACTACCAAGCAAGCAATCATGCATTTAAGGACATAGATTGCCTCTAATGCAACAGGCGTTAAATAATTGTCGTGCATTTACTATCATGTGATGTACTGTGGTTTAATTTGTAAGATGTTTAAGTTAACATGTGTATATGTTTAAGTTAACATCTGTATATTGATAAAGAATTGCACAATTTATAACAATTATTTTTATACAATAAATACTGAAAGGGGTTGTTTATGTTACTTTTTTAGATTATCATATATTTTTACAGTTTGATATTGAAAGTCTGGGTCTGAAAATAGGCTTTTTTAGGCTTTAATGACTAAGAATTTTATGTATAATTTTTAAAAATCCTTATTGCATTCAGCTAGGTAATAAAACAACAAAGTTTCCAGAGTGCTTTTCTGCACTGCCAAATGGCAGAGGTGTCAAGACGCCCAATTTCGTCCTTTTCAGATGAAGAAGCTTCTGTTCTCTCATTGCAGGTGTGGTTTCTAATCCCACTTCTGACAAAGTGGTTTTAGACATTTGAAATAAAAAATACCTAATATAGGCCTACTTTTTCTAAATACTATGACTGAAAGCAACAGGAAGCTTTTAAAATATCAGTTTCAAAATAATTCTGGCTCAAGGGTTTCTACCTTCTCAGGAACTAAGGCTTCTATTCTCCAAATGGAGGTGTGGGTTCAAATCCCACTTCTTACAACAGCGTTTTAGAGACTGGAAACAAAAATGCTTTATAGGCTACGCTTATTTTTTAAGTACGACTTAAGCAATGTCTTGAGTAGCCCTACGAAGTAAATCTACAAATTATGTTTACAAATTTTCTATTATTTTTTACAAATTATTTTAAAAAAATGTATTAAATATCTAAAAATCCCTACATCATAGCGTAGGCTAATGATGAAATATTTTTGGATTACCATATATATCGAATCAATCGTACTGTCAAAAATGGCCGAGCAGTCTAGATTCAAGGGTTTCGACGTTCTCAGATAATGAGGCTACTGATCTCCGAATGAAGGCGTGGGTTCACATCCCACTTCTGACAAGAGTCTTTTACAGTGACAGAATTCGAAATATAAACTATGTTTATTGATTTATTCACGCATAGCGTCGTGTGCTTAGACTAGAGCAATGTCAAATCTATAACACGGTCACGATTTCCATGTAAAAAAGGGTGGGTTTGGGTGCGATTAGTCAGTGATTTTGCTTGATGTGCAGCGTCAGACGAGTATGAGTCCGGTTTGAATCATTTTAGCGGCAGATCACCTACATATTGAATTCATTAACGACACCTCATATACGTTATTGTATGTTAAATTGTTTGAGATTACAACAAGACAGCAAGAATAGGAAAAAGTACATTGCAATCGATTCAGTGATAGATTGCTTTAGTCTCGTGTCGCAAGACAGAACGATGTGAAGGAGCGATTGCTTTGTCTGGCGTATGGGCCCGTTTGTTTGTTGCTCTGTGCAGCTCGACTTTGGTCTGAAACGTAAAATAATGGCTCACCCTCCACCAAAACCATGGGAAAGGCGAATCCCTGGAACCATGACTGCACCACTAAACTATCGGTTCGTAAAAACTCGTATTATTTTGGCCAGTAAGGTTACGTCCAAAAGACGAAGTGTAGGAACGCTAGCAAGCCTGTTAGCTATCGAACTCTTATTTATTCACAATATATTTACTTGTCAAATCGGTATTTAGTTATCAAATGAATAAGTATGTTCATAAGTTTTGTGTTCATGCGATACTGGGTTGTATTGACACTTTTAGTTGTGCTAATAAGTTACGCAAACTTAATGCTTGGCTCGTGCGAGTGTCAAAGTTCACTCCTACATACCCATGCTGTGTTCTGTCTTTTACTTTTAAATATAAATTTATTTGGCAACTTTCAACGGTGTTATTATTATTGGTCTTATTATATATGGTGTTTCATTTGACTCTGTTTTTTTTTTAAATTATTATTATGTCTAGCTCAACTGACTTTGGATCAGCATCACAAAGTGGGCCATCAATGTCTGGTCCTCCAGTTCTAACACGTGTGGTACCACCCATCCCTCCAAGACCCGTCCAGCAAGCATACCGCCCTACATACAGCTCATTTCCTTCCTCATACAGCCCTTATGGGAGCTCCATCTATGGGGGCTACAGCCCCTACAGCTACAGTGGTTATGGAGTTGGAGGCAGCCAGGGTTATAACCGTTATAACCCAACGGACGACATCCCACCCAGCCACTTTGTCCAGCAGGCGGAGGAGAGCAGCCGCGGAGCATTTCAGTCCATTGAGAGCATTGTCCAAGCCTTCTCGTCAGTCAGCATGATGATGGATGCTACATTCTCTGCTGTCTACAACAGCTTCCGTGCTGTTCTGGATGTGGCCAATCACTTCTCCCGCTTGCGCATACATTTCACAAAAGTGCTGTCTGCCTTCGCTCTGGTTAGGACCCTTGGATACCTATATCGCAGGCTGCAGAGGCTGCTAGGATTGCGTCAGGATTCAGAGGTGGATGACTTGTGGGCGGACAGCGCCGCTTCAGGATCCAGAGACACAGGGATTGATGACCCCAGAGCGAATTCTGTCAAATCATGGCCCATTTTCTTGTTTTTTGCTGTAGTTCTTGGAGGGCCATATTTGATCTGGAAGCTTTTGCGGTCTGCTGAGGGTCCTGAGGAAAATGGTGAGACATTTTTCTCCCTTCCTGTTCTGTCTGTTCTCATCTTAAACGTCACACACTCTTTTCACTATTTATTGGTCTGACATGAGGCTTCTTAAAAAGCCAAGGAGGCCTTTGCTTTATTATTTTGTTTGTGACAATGGCTGCATATTAGGGCTGCACGATTATGACAAAAATCATAATTGTTGATTATTCCCTTGAAATTGTAATTGTGATTATTAATTAGGAATATCACAATTTACATTGAATGATGTTTATACCATTGTTTGATGCAACTGCATGCCATATTTCTATATGAAAATAAACAAGCTGAAAACACTCTAACTGAAAAACTAGTGCTTTTCAATAGTATTAAGCCTCAAGTGTCAACTATACATCGGATTGGTTTCTTCTTTAAATGGTATTATAATGTTATACTAAAATTAAAACAGTGGAAAAACCCTTAAGATAACATGTAGAAAGAAAAAACGCATCTTAAGCATTACCGCTGTAAACAGAGCAGGGCTGCGCGTATTAACACTAATTTAAATGCATTATACGGAGGCAAGATGAAAAGAAGGCACACTTTTCTGAAAACACATTAATATAAAATTCAATATTAGGATTTTCTTTCTATATTTCACGCATAGTGAACAGCCATCTTGTTCTGCCTGCTACAGTATTTTCTCCTTTTTAAAACAGTGGAAAAACCCTTAAGATAACATGTACAAAGAAAAAACGCATCTTAAGCACGCAGAATAACATAAGTGGACTTTGAACAATTAATTGCCGCTTTGAACGATTACGTAATTGTGGCATTCATAATTGTAATCACAATTAGAAATTCGATTAATTGTGCAGCCATGATTTTAGCAAATGGCTGCAATATAACAAAGAGTGAAAAATTTAAGGGGGTCTGAATACTTTCCGTACCCACTGTATATGACTGCCATTTATATTTTGGTTTTAATGTGGGACTATAGGACCAATTATGAGAATGATTTACACTACCATTCAAAAAATTGGGGTCAGTAAGATTTTTTTTTTTTTAAGAAATTAATACTTTTATCAAGCAACGATGCATTTATTATGACAGTGAAGACATTTCTAATGTTACAAATAATTAGGATAAATTAATTAGTTAAATAATAAATTAGCTTTCTATTCTATAAAATATATCACCGTTTCCACAATAATATTAAGCAGCACAACTGTTTTCAACATTAATATTTTTAAATATTAAAATAGAAAAGATTTATTTTCAATATTACTGTACTTTTGATCAAATAAATGCAAAATATTATAATAAATTTCAAAAACAAACTTTAGAACAGTAGTGTGTGTTGTACCACAAACAATGCTGAAAGAAGCTTCACACTTCTGAAGCAGTGCTTCGGGCACTGAATTTATTGCAGAGTTAAGTAATTTTATTATTCAGAAATGCACAACTTCACCAGCAGCCTATATAAATTATTGGATGACCTAAATGTATTTGTATGTAGTTTGTTTGTTTTTTTGTAAGTGTCAGAATATGTAGCTGCATCTGTATGTTTGCGCTGGGTTTAAGTTCTGAAGCATGTGTCTGTGTTCTGGTTTATAGCCACTAACTGGGCAAGTGGGGAGGATGACCATGTGGTAGCACGAGCTGAGTATGACTTCACAGCTGCATCTGAGGAAGAGATCTCTCTACAGGCTGGAGACATGCTTAATCTTGCCCCTAAAGGTAAAAGAACAAGAAACATTCTGAACAGAAGAGTACTTAAACACTTTTACATGCATAAAAACTCTAGCTAGTGTGGCAACTATTCTCATATTAAGCAATGTAACATTTAAAATTTCACTGATGTCAAGCATATTAAAACAATGTACGTTTTGTCCTAGGTAGGGCTATGCAATTATTCGTATGCGATTGTCATGCGCATCTCGTCAGTAAAGCCGGTTCCGCGATTGGTAGTAAATCGCCATCACCTGCTTTCAGATGGTGCGGCATTTAATACACAGAGCCGTAGTTCACTGACAAGCTAGACGATATCGCGTTCATAATCGAATGCGATTAATCTGCGATTATGAACACGATATTGCCTAATTGTCAGTGAACTACGGCTCTGCGTAGTAAATGCCGCTCAATCTGAAAGCAGGTGATGGAGATTTACTACTAATCACGGAACCGGCTTTACTGACGAGATGCGCATGACAATCGCAATGCGATTAATTGCACAGCCCTAGTCCCTAGGTATTATAAACACTGACTTAAAGCTTGTATTCAGTGTATTTCACTCTTATTTTCAGAACAACAGCCCAGGGTGCGTGGCTGGCTGTTAGCCAGTGTGGATGGGCAGACCACTGGCCTCGTACCTGCCAACTATGTCAAAGTGTTGGGCCGGAGGAGAGGCAGAAAACATGCAGAATTAGAGAGGATGGCACAGGCCCAGCAGGCTGCACAGAACCTTCCAGCACCTCAAACTGCTCTGGCTACAGCTTCTGTTCCCAACTCCAGGCAGGCAGTCCCTACCACATCAGATCCAGATGAGCTTTTGGATTCTGTTTACAGTGAAACACAAGGCCTTCATGCTACCCTGGAGGTGCAACCTTCTACAAACAAAAACAGTGATACTGTAGTGATAACCACAGAAAAGATGGACTTATGAGTAATTTGTATGTGCAGGGAGGTTTGTGTGTGTGTGTCTCTTGTTGGGAGCTAGGAGAAAAAGTTTATCCTTCATTAGAATATATCACACTCTATGTAACTTAGTCCAACACCTAAAAAAAAAAAGGAGAGGAACAAATGAAAAATAGTGTTGTGGAGGGGAGGTCATTTTCATTTATCGTATGAACTGCATCATTCTGTAAATTTCAGTAGACTGTTAGGCTCAAAGCAATTACCAATATTTGTTCACATTTTCATTCTTCAACAAAAATATTGGGTATTTCAGCATTATAGTTTGTAAGATTGTGTTAATAAGACCCATTGATTTATTTTGAATAATTATTAGGAAAAATGGATTCAGTTATTGATATGCTCACATCAAACATAAAATGTTACAAATATGTGGGTCATTCAAGCATACACAGTTAATGCATCTGATTAGTTTAAATTATGAGGTGTCATATCAGTCTAAAGTTATAATGCAGTGTTTATCACGAATTTCTCCTAATGTAAGAGTTTTAGATTACTGTTCATCTTTCTGCAATGTGAATATTTAATATTTTAAGTTGTATCAAGAATTAGTTTGTGAATTTTTCTGTGTTTTCATATCACTAACACGGTGTGCAATTATGTGAATACAAGCAATTATTTTGCTAGTAAATACTTACTAAAAAAATGTAAAAAATGTATCTCCTGTCATTTTCAATTGTATAGTAAAGTTCCAGCATTTCCAAAATTACAGAAAATTACTAATTGACATGTAACTGGGTAAGAAATTTACGTGCATTTATAAATAAATAAATAAAGATAAGTAATAAAAATGTGTTACACTGCAAATCTGCTAACAGTTACTCTACCATTAAAAAGTTTGGGGTCAGCAAGTATTTTTTTAAAAAGTATTATGCATTAATTTATTTTAAAATGTAGTACAAAAAAGATAAAGTCAGCAGATGAAGATAACTGAAAACATCCCCTTTGTGAGAGTCTGTCAATAAAATGTCGATATTTTTGGAGCTGTGGTGTCCCGAAGTTATCTCTCTCTTTTTTTCTACTTTGTTATTTTTGTCCGAGCACCCACTTTAATGCAATGAGTTTTAAAAGTATAGTAATATGAAATACTACTACAATTTAAGTTACTGATTTCTATTTTAATATCTTTTGAAAATGTAATTTATTGTTATGGAACAGCTGGGTTTTTTTTTTAGCAGCCATTGCTCCAGTCTTCAGTGTCGCATGATCCTGTAAAGTTACTTATATTATTTTTGTGGAAACAGAGACACATTTTTCATGATTCTTTGATGAATAGCAAGTTCAAAAGTACAGCATTTATTTTAAATAGAAAACTTTTGTAACATTACAAATGGCTTTACTGTCACTTTTTATGAATGTAATGCGTTCTTGCTGAATAAAAGTATTAATTTCTTGCTAACCCCAAACTTCTGAACGGTAGTATATACAAGTTAAATCCATGGTTGCACACTATCTCTGTCTAAAAATCAGCGTTTAGTCTTGTCAGCGTATCTACAGTGCTACTTCTTTCAGCAATTTCGTTGACTTGATTATAGCGACTAAATGCATTTGGGTTTGTTCGGGCCCCATATTAAAAACAGAATCCCATCAATCAAATGGAATGTTGGGGCTGTCGCCTAGCAACGGGGACTCCGGCGCGCACCTGCTGCACTGCGGCACCGGAAATAGAGAGCGCAACACAGCGGCAGAGCAGCAAGCGAGGTGGAGTTAATCCTTTGCCACGGGTCGCCTTTTTGTCAGTTTCCTTTTTCAGTCTCGGGTCATCGAGCTTTGGCATCCTGTCAAATCTCAGCAGAAGGAGGGACGAGCCGCTCAATCAGGGACACTGCAGCGAGAGCATCATCATCATGGCATACGCCGCATCACTCTCTCTGCCATCTCTGGCATTTTAACAAGAGCCGCTTCAGCAAGAGGAGGGAGGCCGACGTGGGTAGTCATGCCCACCAAATCTGCGAATTTCACCCTGAGCATTTGTTTTTATTATTATTTGTATATGCTGTGTCGACGTGAGCTTCACTGGTTTCCCCGGATAAAATCATAGCAAGCCACAGCATCTCATACCCAGCTCATGTTGATGTTCCTCATACCCAGCCCGTTATCAGCACCGCTCAGCTGGTATGAAAGAAGAGCATTGTTACCAGAGGAAACAACGCATAAATCTGCAACAGGGTAAACTGACGATGTGATTGTGTGTATTAGCTTAGCATTTCAGAGGTTGATGCGACAAAAAACGTAAGGAATGCCACGATCTGTTATTTATTATGCTAGCTACGCATCTTTAAAGCTGCACACACTGAATAGTCGTAGATGAGAAAGGTGTATTTTCTTAGCACTGTAAGTTTTTGTTGTATCTGAGGTCATAAGCTCACTTTACCAGATATCAAATTCGACAGCTGTCATTCCCTCAGATTGCCCCTTGTTTCTCTGATATTCCATGCAAAGGGACGGTAGAGAGCTAGTCGATGCGAATTATTCAGGTTATTCTTAAAATATAGACGTTTTTCTACAATAGATGATAGTTTTCTTCCTGCTCGGACTGTTGATATATATTCAGGCCTCACTGTGATCCCTACTGGTCAAGGAGCTTCTGACAGTGAGATAGCAGATCCTGCCAAGAAGATTGAGAAAACGGAAGAGAATAAAATGTGAGGCACATTCATACCAGTCAGGCCATCAATTAATCATCTTCTACTAAAGTCTTTTTTTTTTTCTTTTTTTTTCTTTCACATAGCCCCAACATGGTAATTCACGTTTGTGATGAGGCAAAGAACCTGAAGCAGGACTTTGTATGTCCGAGGAACCTCCTGGTAAAAGAGATGCGTTACTTTGAAGAGTATCTTTCTGTGGACCCACAGCGCTGGGACGAGGTGGACATTTCTGTCCACTGTGACGTCCAGATCTTCGACTGGCTCATGAACTACGTCAAGAGTCACAACACTGAACATTGGCATGGAATATACATGGACAAACCCAAACTGGGTAATTGTATTTTGGGAACTGTTTCAGATGTTCTGTTTGTGTTTACTGTTGTGTTTTTAATTTCTATATTCAAAGACACCATCAGAGGTGTTGTGTAACCTGTGTTCTCTGACCTGGCTGAATGGCATTTGTAAGTGGTGGATGGTGTTTCATGTGGTTGTAAACGGTTATGCATTGGCTGTGAGTTTGATGTTTCGCTGTTTGTGATGTTGTCGGTTATGTTATGTGGTGTTTGGTTGCAGAGCCCAGCAATGTCATCTCAATCCTGATCTCCTCCGAGTTCTTGAAGATGGAAACTTTAGTAAGTGTTGTGAGGGGTGACAATGTTTTGGGTAATGTAGCAAGTGTGCTCTGAGCTGGGTGACCTTTAGGTAGTAGTGCACCTTAATTGCATGATGGCTGTTTCATCATTTGTGTTGTTCTTCTGGACGACTCTGTGCACTGCCTGAACAAGCACTAATGAGATGTAGAACAGTAATTTTCAGGAAGGATCTGGTGAATTTTGATAGCTTCATGTGCTTGGGGAACATTATCAATATTCAAATGAGTATTATTATCCAAAAACTTGTCTGAGCAGTGTTCAGAATGCATGTTGGTTGATCTCATCAGAAGTTATTCGTCCAGTTGTTAAATGGGCTTCAGGTGTTTGATTATCATGTGTTTCGTGGATCTGAAGGTTGTGGAGTGTATCCAGTATTGTCACAAACATATGAGTGCCATCATAGCAACGCCATGCAATATGAACTGCATCAATAACAATCTGGCTGGATGCATTGCTGATCTGTTCAGCCACAATGAGGCAGATGACCTCAAGGACAAAAGAGACAAATTCAAAAGGTGAGAACAGCACACACATGAATCGGAAACAGAATTATCTAAAGGTGCTGGATATTTACTGGCTATAACAGTCTCTTGTGCTCACCAAGGCTGAATTTATTTCCGTTTGTTTCATCAAAAATACAGTTAAAGCTGTAATATTGTGAAATATTACTACAGTTTAAAATAACTTGCACGCTGCATTTTCAGAATATAAGAAGATAAGTCTTTTTACTGTTGCCTTTGATCAATTCAATTCATCCTTGCTTAAAAAATCATTAATTTCTTTAAAAAAATCTTACTGAACCCAAACTTTTGAATGGTAGTGTACAGATAATATGATTTTTAATACAATATAATGGTCATATAAAATACATATAAGTATTCTGCAGTTCTGTTTGTGATCATTTGTACCTTCTTACCAGTAAACTGTTTCAGAAGAAGATTGAGAGATTATTTGATCATGGTTATCAGAATCACGATTCCCCTGGTAACTCATCTACTCTGTACAGGTGAGAGTCTTTTGCATTGCAGTGCAAGCTGTAATACTGTATTAGCATGATTTATTGTATAGACATGCACTGGAAGTATTATAAATGATTCTTCTGGTTTATTAAAGTGGATTTCAGTGTAGTAATTTAACGTTGTGGTTCTTTCCACAGATGTGGACTTTGCCTTAAGCTTTTAACCAAAGAAACTGAGAGAAAAATCCCTTGTGATCCAAACAAAATCAACATAGATGCCCGGGGAAACATTGTATTCAATCATACCAGGTTATATATTTGAATCACATACACACAAATGATTTAAAACACACTTTCATTGAATTCTTTCAATGAACAAACACATATGTGACCCTGGACCACAAAACCAGTTTTAAGTCGCTGGGGTATATTTGTAGCAATAGCCAAAAATACATTGTATGGGTCAGAATTATAGATTTTTCTTTTATGCAAAAAATCATTAGGACATTAAGTAAAGATCATGATCCATGAAGATATTTTGTAAATTTCCTACTGTAAATTCATCAAAACTTAATTTTTGTTCAGTAATATGCATAGCTAAGAACTTAATTTGGACAACTTTAAATGCAATTTTCTCAATATTTGGATTTTTTTGCACCCTCAGATCCCAGATTTCCAAATAGTTGTATCTCGGCCATATATTGTCCTATCATAACAAACCATACATCAATGGAAAGCTTATTTATTCTGCTTTCAGATGATTGTATAAATCTCAATTTTGAAAAATTGACCCTTATGACTGGTTTTGTGGTCCAGGGTCACATATATAATGACATGTTGGTA